GCTCGTAAGCAGAACCACCCCCCGCCAGCGCCCGACACCTTGCCCGCTCCCCTTCCCCACAGGTCTTCGCCCAGCGCCGGGGCCGTGGCACGGAGGCGGGCTGCTCTTGCTGTAACGGGCCCGGTGGCCGGGTCAGTGGGGAAGACCGCTGTCGGCTGGAGCGGACGCCTTCCCCGGGCCCGGTTGCAACCACTCTTCCCTCCCACGAAACCCGGACTTCCCGGCGTTTTGCACGTCCTCAGGCCTTAGAGCAAGCAGCAAGCACAAAGTAATAGCCTGTTCTCGCTGAGCGCGCTGTGCCCTGGACAAGTGACTGTCAGCAGACGTCCAAGCAGGGGCTGCGGCAGCACGGCTGGGCAAGTGCGAGGCATTCACCCGCTTTGTAGTGTCCACCTCCACCCAGTTGTTGGTAGGGAGTTTTTCAGTTGAAGACCTACTGCAGCTGCTCTGTTGGCTCTCTTTCGAAATAAGAGCCTGGATTTAAAATGAAGTGCCAGTTCAGAAGATATGTGTGAAACATCATAGTGAGTCTTCTTCTCTTCTTTGCAATGGACACTTGGTCCTTGAAGGGCCTCTCTGAAGTCCTAATGAGTTCTCTCAGTGATCATTGCACTTCAGTGGCACCTGCCCTGGGCAAATGCACAGTATCTCCACTGTAGATCACAGTCACTGTACGTACTTGTTAACACATGCAATTTTGGCTTCCACCTTCTCCCCCAAGTAATCTTAGAAATTATGCGGTCACTGTTCCTATTTGGAAGCAGGCTTCTTACTGAAAACAGAGTATATGAAGTTGGCAATTCTCACATCTGAAAACCATAGCTATCTCCTTGCATACTGCTTCTTTATCAAGCAGAAGCAAAACCATGGCATCTTTCAGGAGTTTTAAATTAGCCCTTTCTTCTCTAAATGAGTAAATGATCCAGAACAGTTCTTGCAGAATAGGAATATTGAAAAATATTTGATCCTTGCAAACCACATTGATTTATTCATGTGTTCTATAGGTATTTCAGTTAAACAGAAGAAAAACATCATTGGGGAATTCTTCCCAAGGCAGCTGAGAGAATATACAGTTAATTGTTATGGTAACAATTACATAGTTAGGTTGAGAAAACAGCAATAAGTGTTACAGTAAAAATGTGCAAGAAAGTTACATTTCTTCAATAGGTCAATGCGAATAGTTATTTCTGAGGATGACGGCTGTCGTTCCAAGACACAATGCCCCCAAATACTTAACACTTCTACGTTCCTCAGATACGAGGCAGCATGTGTGCCAAGTACTAATATTAATAATTCCATTAAATCATATTTTGATGACCATGACTCTGTCCCTTTGCTTTGTTCTTGCCTAAGTGTAGCTTTCAGCTTTCATCCCAAGTGGGAGTGGTACCAGAAAGCTGCTTAAGGGGCTACATATATTTGGGATTGTTTGTTACATTGAAGCAGAAGTGTAGCCAAATAACTTAGAATTTTGGAGAAATGTATGCTGAAGACAATACAGGAGGTTAATGGCAGGCTGCAAATATTTATAACTTAATTTATACTCGTTAAATTTTTAAAATTTTATTTATTTTTTCCAGTGACTCAGCTTTTTTATCCTCATGAAAAAGATGAGCACTTAAAATCTGTTGCAGCGATTAGAAACCATATCAGTCAGCAGTACTTTCCAGTGATGCTTTTTATGCAACCGTCTGCACAGGTAGGCTTTGTGAGCAGATAAGAATAAGAAAGCAGATAAGAATAAGAAAATGTTGTGTCTTTGATGGATGTAGACCTCTTTATGGTTTTATGCATTTTTCTCATGTTTTATCTCCTTTTTTGCATTAAGTAATGTGAGACTGATGGAAAATTAAATTGCTCTTAGTCAGGGTGAGGTAGACAGCAAAGAGCTGTGGGCTGTTCCAACATTTTGTGGATTTTCAAACCTAACTTTTTTCAAGGTCACAGCAGTCATTACAGTTTTTTGAGAATGGCTGAGAATAAAGTGGAATTGGTGTGAATGCAATGCTTAATTGAGTCTTTTTACCAAGGGGAGAGGAGGTCATGTTGCTTCTGTTCCATCACTTAAAACAACATTGCTGTCTGAACATCGTGTGTTTGTGAAGCAGACATCGCTCAAACTTTATAGCTGTGTAACTGACCCCAAAATAACTGCAGGAAGTGGTTTATACAGTAATATTATGAATGCCAAAAACCATTCAGGTTATTAAATTGTTGCATGTGTTTCCTGTTTAACCGTGTCCTTCACAGTCACTTTAGCCTTGCTCGGTGCCATCATTCTCAGAAGGTACTTTTTGAAAAGCAACAGTGTCCTGTATGTTGGTAAATAAAGCACCAGACCATAGCAAAGTGCTAGGTAAAAACTGCAGTTTAGATGTTTGAATTACTCCAGAAATACATGGCATTCCTTTTTACTTTTCCCTAGCAGCAAAATGCTCAGGCATGTAAGACTGCAACTCTAAAACTCTTTGGAATCTATTTATTATTATAGGGTTTTTTTTTAAAGCACGTTTGTAACTAGATTGTTTTTGTTGGAAATGCAGATGTGTTTTGTGATAGGCTTGCATTGTGGGTCCTGTGGAATCAAAACTTCGAATGATGGCAGTGAGGATAGCAGTAGTACAGGAATTCTGGACAGAACACTAAAGAAGCTAAATTTGTGACCTGCGATACAATAAAAATTAGAAAGGTTTTGGATTGCTTGCTCATATTTGTTCTCATTTCGTTATGATTGAGAGTGCTGTGCTAGGTCATGATCCAGCATCTCATTGTACTTACCAACTTCCCTGTTTGAATTAGGCTACACACAACTCTGTACTGGTAATAAGTGATACACTGTGCTGTAAACTGTATATAATCAGGTGACTGGATGCTATCTGCTGGAAAAAAATATACTCCTGTCAACTTGGTCATTACTATTTCTAGGTGAACATTGAACTTAAAGTATCAGTCTGATGCTTTGGCTTTTTACCTTTGTACCTAGCAGAAAGAGAGGCATCCAAGCATAAAATACGTAATTTCTGCTGACCAGGATCAGCAGCAGAGTACAAGGGAAGAGACAATGTCTCTCAAAACAACCCAACAGGAAAGTCAGACATCTCCACTAAAGCAGAATGGATGGGTAAGCTGGGTTTCCTCCCTTTTATTTTGATGCTATTGCTAGTGAATAACTGGGATTTTGCATTGGTCTCTCTTACTGAAGAGAGAAACAGATGTCTGTTAGCTTAAGCATATAAATGAAGAGAAGAAAGGGCTATGTGTTATTCTTCCTGATTCACTACATTCAGAGGTCTAGGAGCTTTCCAGTCTTAATGACACTGGGCTCTGATTTATGCTATGCTAGTTAAACAAGTTATGAACTGGCAGAGCCCTAGTTGCTGAGTACTAGTCCAGAATAATCTGTCCCCATCAAGGTGTGTACGTATTCAGAGGGAGAGAAGGGAAGAGTATTGCACAAGAACCTGCCCTCCAGCTGTATGGAAGATGAGCGTTCCCCTCTGCTGGAGAAATCAGCTACCCTTGGGGGTTCAAATTTTACCATTTTATGCTATAAGCATGTAATTAACCACATGGAATTTAAATGTAGTATGACCTTGTTGCTAACCAGTCACTGCCAGAGAGCAGCAAAAGCATGCTCATCTGCAAGGGAAGGTGACCTGGGAGCCACAAGTGGCAGCAAGGCAGGCAGCGGTTGTGAACTCAGGGACAAGGAGCACTGTCCCAAAAAGAGGAGCAGAGCAGATCCAGTGATGTTAACCAGGGTCAGCCAACAGTTGGTTCGGTGATTGCTGGGCAAGTCCACAGGAATAAGGCAACTCTGATAGTAAGCCAAGATGTTGAGTTTGCAAGGCGAGGTAGGGATCATGATGGTAAAAGGCCAGGTACAGGCATACCTACAACACAGTTAAGGCGAGGGCCTGAGCTTAAATGCAGTTCCTGAGCCGAGGGGCAGAGGCCCTGGGCAAAGCTTCTTGCAGCTCTTTCTCCCAGCTTCACTGTTTTCACAGCAGTCTAATTCAGTGTTACACAACTGTCCCATATTAGTGCTGACTTTGAGCCCAAGGAACTAAACCCTTGGCAGGGTGTGTATGAGGACAGAAAGGTTGCAAAGCCTGTTGGTGTGCTTAGGGCCCTGACACTCATTTCCTTATCTTTCACTCAGCCTGTTTGGATTTTATTGTATTTGCTGTGACCTTGCTGAGAAACCAGTTTGGAGTGGTTCTCTAGGGTCTGGAGTGGAGCCAATTCTCTACTGTTTACCCAAGCAGCACCACCATTAAGTTCAGTTGGAGCAGTGCTTGAAGAAGGACTGAGAGATTAATTAGCTAAAATGTGTGGCTGCGGCCAATAAATGCATTTCATTATTACAGTTACGAAATCATGGATCAGTCAGTCATAAAATGAGGTAGAATCCTGTAATAGACTAATGTGCTCTTTTTCCCAAGGCACTGCTTGTTCTACGAAGTCTGGTTTTGCTTTCAAGAATAAGTATGTTTGTAGAGGTTGTGGTTTTACAGAAAGATGTTGAAATTTCAACTAATTTTAACTTAATGACAATCCCTTCTTTCCCCCGGCTTTTATTGCTGAGCATGACATCATATGGTCTGGGATATCCCTTTGGTCAGTTGGGGTCAGCTGTCCCAGCTGTGTCCCCTCCCAACTTCTTGTGCACTCCCAGCCTACTCGCTGGTGGGACAATGTGAGCAGAACAAGCCTTGATACTGTGCAAGCACTGCTCAGCAATAACTAAAACATCCCTGTGTTATCAACATTGGTCTGGTCACAAATCCAAAATGCAGCACCATACCAGCTACTATGAAGAAAATAACTCTTCCCATCCAAAACCAGTACATCCATATATTTTAGATGTCCAGTAATGATACTACAAGTGCTAACACTGATAACCAAGTCATTCTTAAAGAAGGAAAAATAACGTGCCTATATCCACATGCCAATGCTCCAGATAGTAGAATGCAAGAGAGAATACTGTCACTTTTTTCTCACAAACAAAATGGGAAAAAAAAGAGCTACCATTAACCTAAAAGAAACCCGTTGGCAAGTGAATTATAATGAAGGTGAAGCCAGTATGGTTGGGTTCCATTAATGCCATAAATATATTTAAACTGCTCAGAGAGAAAGTTAGGCTAGTTAGGGGAATCTGACAGAGTTTATGTTGGCCCTTTTCTGAATACTTGCAAATCTACTCTTACTGAACTTAAATTGACTTTTGTACAGGGCAGAACTTCATTTTTAGAAACTACCACTCTGCCTTTATCTCCCGTAATTTCTTTCCCAGAAAGCTGATGTAGCTCATAAGAATGAAACAGCTCACAGAAATAAAGCATTATACTTCTGAGGTAAGCAGCAGCTGAGCTATTTTAGGAAAATATAGACCAACAGGATGAGTGGTTTTAACTTTAAAACCTATGTAATTCTTTCTGTTTCTGTATTGGGGTATCAGGTATTTCATCACACTGCTAACAACAGAACAACGAGTTTTGCCTGTTTGGTTGGGTTTTGCATTGTATTTTATTTGTTTTTTAAATAATTGTCTTTTTTTTTCCCTATGAGATTAAATTCAACAAGCTAACCCAGGTTTATCCTTTCAGCCAACATTCTATTGTCCCATCTCACAAATTCACAATGCTGAAGAAATTGCAAGGATCCGTGAAGAATGCAAAAAGGAAAGTTTCTAGTACAGAGGTGAATGATCCAAACTTGTTCTTATCACACTGAGAATGACTTCTTGATGTAGTTATTCAAAACTGGCTGCAAAATGCCATGCTGTTTATTGCAATACATTGGGTTTTGTTGGAATATTATTGTGGGTTAACTCTGTAACCTTATTTTAAGTTGAGCAATATATTATTCTAAGGTTAATTGAATTGTTTGCATAATCATTGTTGGTAAAGGTGGCTGAATTAAGCTCTTGTTCAATATGAACTTACTTTAACAATCATAGAGTTGGTTCTATTATTGAAGTCTGTTATTAAAACAACCTTAGGAATGTTTTACTTTATTACATACTTACTCTTGCCTTTGAATGAAAGGCAGGCATGGCTATGTATCTTGGGTTTGTGAAACTCTTGAGGTGTTAGGACATCTAAAAGATTAGTTACTCGGTGTTTAGTGCCTTTTAAGTCCACCATGTCCGTTTGTATCTAAATTATACATTTTCTGAAAGGAGAAGATTGAAAAGTGTTTCAGCATTTAATTGGAGACGCTGTCATTACTAGTGTTGCAGATTATGGAACCTCTTATTTAATAAATATAGAATCATAGAATCATTAAGCTTGGAAAGGACCTCCAAGATCATCAAGTCCAACCATCAAACCGACACCACCATGCCTACTAAACCATGTCCCAAAGTGACACGTCTACATGTTTTTTGAACACCTCCAGGGATGGTGACCCCCCCACCAATCTGGCCAGCCTCTTCCAATGCTTGACCACTCTTTCAGTAAAGAAATTTTCCCTAATATCCAATCTAAACCTCCCCTGGTGCAACTTGAGGCCAATTCCTCTTGTCCTATCACTTGTTAGTTGGGAGACCAACACCCACCTCACTGCAGCCTCGTTTCAGGTAGTTGTACAGGGCAATAAGGTCTCCCCTCAGCCTCCTCTTCTCCAGACTAAACAATCACAGTTTCCTCAGCTGCTCCTCACCAGACTTGTTCTCCAGACTCCTCACCAGCTTTGTTGCCCTCTTCTGGACACGATCCATCAACTCAATGTCCTTCTTGAACGGAGGGGCCCAAACCCGAACACAGCATTCGAGGTGCGGCCTCACCAGTGCAAAGGACAGGGGGACTATCACTTTCCTAGTCCTGCTGGCCACACTATTCCTGATACAAGCCAGGATGATGTTGGCCACCTTGGCCACCTGGGCACATTGCTGGCTCATGTTTAGCCAGCTGTCAAACAGGTCCTTTTCTGCCAGACAGCTTTCCAGACACTCTTCCCCAAGCCTGTAGCGTTGCATAGAGTTGTTGTGACCCAAGTGCAGGACCTGGCACTTGGCCTTGTTAAACCTCATACAATTGACCTTGGCCCATCCATCCAGCCTGTCCAGATCCCTCTGCAGAGCCTCCCTACCCTTGAGCAGATGGACATTCCCACCCAACTTGGTGTCATCTGCAGACTTACTGAGGGCACACTCAATCCCCTTATCCAGATCATTGATAAAGATATTAAACAAGACTGTCCCGAGAACTGAGCCCTGGGGGACACCGCTTGTGACCGGCCGCCAACTGGATTTAATTCCACTCACCACAACTCTCTGGGCTTGGCCATCCAGCCAGTTTTTTACCCAGCAAAGAGCACACCTGTCTAAGCCATGAGCCGCCATCTTCTCTAGGAGAATGCTGTGGGAGACAGTGTCAAAGGCCTTGCTGAAGTCCAGGTAGAGAACATCCACAGACTTTCTGTCATCCACTAGGTGCATCACCTGGTCACAGAAGGAGATCAGATTGGTCAGGCAGGACCTGCCTTTCGTGAACCCATGCTGGCTGGGCCTGATCCCCTGGTTGTCCTGCCCATGCTTAGTGAGCGCACTCACCGCTCCATACATATAATGCATTAGCTCCAGGTGTTACAGCATGCCCATGCCTGATATCTAGCACTGCGTGGACACATCCTTGCTTTGAAGAGATAGTAATCTGATGTAATAGGTGATTAAGACAGTATGCACAAGTTAATATTTAGAAGATGAGTAATGTGTTTAACATTATAAACCTATAAAATATTTACTATATAAAGGAGTAATGTATTTATCAAATAGGTAACAAATTTGGGCTGGTACCAAATACACTTTTTTTTATTTTACAGCTCTTCCTTTGTCTCTTGGGAGCATGCTTGTCACCCGGGAGCTAGTCTCAAAAGGTAAATGTAAAATATATATGATGGTCCTAAATTATGAAGTTGGTACTCTAGAATTGCTACTGAAAAGTAAGTTTCCCTAAAGCCTGCTGTTTTTCAAGATCAATATTCCTCTCACTCATCACCATCATTGTTATAGTGATTTGATCATTATGTATGCGTTGCCACAGTCATTCTTTTGAAAGAACATGAACTGAAAAGAGAATTCATGAATTCAAAGACGGATGGTTAGATTCTGTCACCATGATCGCATGTATTTGAGTCGAGTCTTCACTGGGGCTGCTTGTAGGGCAGAGCATCTACAGCCTGAGCCAGCGGCATCAGATTTGGGTACTGTAGCTCTAACTGTTGGTTTATTTAAAAAATCCTGGCAACATTTTTACAGTGACCATATATCAATATGAATACAGCTTTGGTGCAAAGGGACAAGGAATACTGCCAAAGTGAGGAGACAGAGAGCTTTTTATAGAGATGGCTTGTGATCTGCAGGCCAACACAAAAGAGAATTGTATTCCATTTATGTGGTGGATGAGCCCGGTTCTACACACTGCACCTTGAGTTTCCCTTCTGGGGGGTTTGAGGTTAGTGTTTTGGGTAAAGAGTGAAGGGCATGCTAAGATGGGTGTATCTCACAGTAGCAAATAAGACAGTCCTTCAGCCTGCATCAGCAGCCATTTACAGCAAGGGCAGGCAGGAGAAGAGAAAAATCACAGGGCCTGAAGCAAGAAGCAGAAAAGAATCCAGGGGCTATAAGGTATGGGTGGTAGGAGACAGCAAATGAAGGAGGTGGAAATGGCTCAATCTTTCCTCGCTGTGTGTGGTTGCAAGCCCCTTGTTTTGTTTCAGCCACTGTTACCATGTTTCATCCTCAATACACTCTTTTTTTTTTTTTTTTTTTTTTAACTAAGATAATGAGGAGAACTAGAGTAGAAAACCTAACAGCTGTGCTATACCACAGGAGGCTGATGTGGGTTCCCTGTTGCATCCTCGACCTGTGAGCTTGTAGGCAGACAGGGAGGGAAGGAGCAAGGGAGAGGATGTGAGAGAAAGCAAATTTTTACACATTTGAAAAGGCGTGAACAGCGATAGGAAGGGCACCGGTGTTGTCTCAGTAGCTACCATGCCATCCTCTGGCACCAGGTACTCTTCTCAGTTTCTCTCCATTGTACTTGGACATTTCTTATCAGCTGTGAAATAACAAATGCGCA